CACGCATCTGGACATGCGCGAGAAGCCGTTTCAGTTTTCAGTTTCACGTATTTTGGTGTAGGGTAGCCCCCGTGAGCCATTCGGCTCTTGAATCGGGTGCAACCGCAACAAGCAAACAAACACGAACAAGGAAAACCACCTTAAAGCGACTACGCGCAAACACACAAAAATCCTGGGGAAAAAAAAACTGGAAAAGTCTTATTCTAAGAAGATGAATTACTGCGGTCACGAAAGCTTTAAATCAAAATCGGAAAAGTCTTATAAAGCCGAGCCTTGGTCGCCTCTAGCAACGCCGAGCCGCGGTCGCCCCTAGCAACGCCGAGCCGCGGTCACCCCTAGCAACGCCGAGCCGCGGTCGCCCCTAGCAACGCCGAACAAAAATGCACACACAACGCCGAGGTCAAATTCGTCTCACCTCCCCACCGCAATTGTGCGCACTTGCTTACTATAGCAGGGGGTGGGCAAACGTTTTGACTCGCGGGTTCTAAAACTCGACAGAGGGGACGGGCCAGGAGTGTCTGCGTGAACTAAATATAAATGACGCGTGTAAAAAAAAAAAAATCACCACGTGAAAGGATTTGGCCTTCGGCGGGTAGCAAAGCGTTTTATTTGGCAAGGCAATTTAACAAACTGCACGAAAACACGAACGATACGAGGAGAAAAAAAGACAAAAACAACAACCGCCATTCGCCACTAAGTGGCGGTGACGTCACCACGACGCTTGTGCCAGGCTATGTGCCCCTTGAGGCCACGTGAAGTGTCGAACGCCCGCTGGCAGGAGGTCACGGGGCAGACCCAGGTGCCACGGGTCGACTGACTGAGATGACTGGCTGATGCACCACCTGTGCCCCCTACTGTGCCAACCTGCTGTGCTTTAGCCACCCGGCGCTCCGCTCGTTGTTCTGAGCGTCGCTCCTCCGCCCTCCGTTGTTGTTGGAGGGCGACTACCTCCAACTGCCCAGTAGCATCCTTCACGAGCCTCCTCCATAGAGGCCGATCTTGACACCGCTGGTACCAGTCATCGGCAAGTCCACTCAGCTCCACGTCCTCCTGTACCACATCACTCCATCTCTTCTCTAGCCCGTGCCGCGCCCGCTTAGCCCCCTCAATCCGGCCAAACAAAAGCTGTTTCGGCATGCGGTGGCTGGGCATGCGGGCTACATGACCCAGCCATCGCAGCCTTGCCTGCCGGAGGAGCTCACCGATGGGACCCTGCCCAGATCTTTCAAGGATTTGTGAGCTCCTCACACAATCCAGTCTGGTTAAGACACACAAAAAGACACACACACACACGTGGGTAACTCCCGGTCAAAAGTGCGCCATCTAATATGGGAAATGAGGGCATTACAGGAGAAAGGTGAAATGTAATTCAATAATAATATTTGGTGGGGCATAGTTCGGCGGGGCCGGATTAAAAATGGGGGGGGGGGGGGGCGTACTTTGCCCGCGTTCCGCACGATGGGCGAATTGTCCGATGATGCTGGATGCAATTACCAGCGAAACGTCGCCCTACTCATAGTTCATAGTTTATAGTTCCATAGTTTCATTTATTTTGGCATAGCCCCTGTGAGCCATTCGGCTCTTGAATCGGGTGCAACCGCAACAAACTAAAACACGAACAAGAAAAAAACATCTCAAAAGTGAGCATCTATATCATCAGACCTCCTTTGCCAGTACCAAAATGTAATAATAGGATAATAAATTGATAAAATAAAATAACACAATAATATTCTCACGACGTTTCGGCCACAACACAAGCGGCCTTCATCAGGTGAAGGGGACGAGACTGTCTGGTAGGACAGCGCTGTCTGGTATCACCGTACACCTACCAGACAGTCTCGCCCCCTTCACCTGATGAAGGCCGCTTGTGTTGTGGCCGAAACGTCGTGAGAATATTATTGTGTTATTTTATTTTATCAATTTATTATTTTATTATCATTCTACGTGACTTTACCAAAAGAACCAAAGAAGATGAATCATTGCAGTCACGAAAGCTTTAAATCGAAATGTAATAATAGGGTTTTTCCCTTTTTTTCTGGCAACAAAACTGAAACCTTTTTACAAGGATTCATGTTTACTGCATTAACCACAATACCTGCAGTCAAAATGCAAACAAAAAACATACTATGATAATATATGCATTGTCCTTGAAACTGATTGGTCCACACCATATATGCATTGTCCTTGAAACTGATTGGTCCACACCAATCAGTTTCAAGGACAATGCATATATTATCATAGTATGTTTTTTGTTTGCATTTTGACTGCAGGTATTGTGGTTAATGCAGACATGAATCCTTGTAAAAAGGTTTCAGTTTTGTTGCAAGAAAAAAAGGAGAAAGACCCTATTATTACATCTCAAAGTGACTTTGTGTTGACTGTGCGAAACAGAAAATCCAGGGGGAAAAAAAAACCCATCAAAATATTCCTGAAATATCACCGTACACCACCAACGCTGTGTGCAAAAAATCCCAGTGGGATGCAAGTCAAGTAACAACAACCACAAGACAACTTAGATTAAGGCCGTCAGTCTAAACTCCATACTACAATAAACAAAAACATGGCCAAAACCCAAAAAAAAAACGTTTTCGAAATCGCCAAAATAAAAGCCATGAATGCAATGTAACAGTGACCATAGGGACTGTGACCGAATTTTTTTACAGTAAACTACGTAAGTAAATTATAACACCAAAAATCCAGAGCCGTATTTTAGGCCGCTGAATAGCAGTGGCGGCTAGGGGTGTACAACTCCTCCAGAGCAGTTTTGAGTGAAGATCTCTCACAGGTAGCGATTCAAGCTGCAGTTTATTGGCAATAGCATTCCAGACCCTGGGGGGCATCAATAGCAAAGGCCCTTCCTCCGGTTTTCGTACGGCAAATAGGGGAATGTGAAGCTGGTAAATGTCGCGGATTCACGCTTCAACAACGCCACCAACCGGTGTGGGCCTAAAGCAGAGAACCAACTCGTCCGTTGTCAACGCGACACTTTTAAAAATAAAAAAAAAATTTGCCGATTGGCCATGCCCGGGTGGCTGCGGGTCATAAATAACGTGACCTCACACCCGCGAAAACCTCTTATCGCGGATGATATTGGTCGCGAAAGCCTACGTGTTAAACTGACTCTTCTAGCCCCTACATCAGACATGGGCAGAGTACGGGCTTTTTAATCCTGCCCGTCGAACTTTGCCCAAATATTATTATTAAATTAAATTTTACCTTTCTCCTGCAATGCCCCCATTTGCCCATTAGATGGCGCGCTTTGCCTTGCAAATACATGCTTTGCTACCTATAACCTTAGCTCTTTCGGTAAAGTCACGTTGAAGGGAAACAATAAAATATATATGAAACAATACAAATTCTCACGACGTTTCGACCATAACACAAACGGTCGTCATCAGGTGTGTCGGTTTGCCTTAATTTATTTATATTTAAACGATGCATTTATTTATTTATAAAAAACGTTAGCGCCACACGCAGCGATTTAGCAGTTTGTTTAGAAGGACTAGCCCATCTATGTTCTGAAAAGAGGAGGGGGGAGACGAAAAATGAATGTACGCTGTCTGAAAGCTACCGTAAGCGTGAACAATCAATTAAGACCCGAAATGGTTAATCAAATCTTTCCAATGATTGCTAAGCCAGAATATGAATTAATGCAGTCACGAAAGCTTTAAATCAAAGCTTTGCTACCTGTTAAAGGCCAAATCCTTTCACGTAATGTTTTTTTTTTTCACACGTCATCTATATTAAGTTCGCACGAACACTTCCATCCATCTGGTTCCTGGCACGGGCCCGTCTTGTCAAATTTTAGAACCCACTGTGGCTCGCGAGTCAAAAAAGATTTGCCCACCCCTGCGCTAGATACTATTACTGTAGGGGTGGTGGTGGTGGGCGGGGAGGGGGGGTAGCGGTCCCGCCCCCCCAAGCCTGCAAAGATGCCACCTGGTCCAGCTGGGCAATCTAGGCGAGGCCGGGGGGCTCTGCCGGGGGGGGGGGGGGGGGGCTAGGCCTCACCACGAAACTCTCCCGGAAGAACTGCAGAGGAACGGAGTTCCTGCATCATCACGAAAGCTTCAAAATCAAGATTGAGTTTGTAACTATGTTACGCAGTCGGTGTATATGTGTATGTACTATTACAGACTCAGCCTCAAAATGAGTACCTGGTGCGGTGTGTAAACATTGCCACTAGGGAGACAAAAGCGGTCGGGCGTGGTGCTGGCCACCCACCCCCTCGTGTACCGTTCCGGCCTTCATAGGTGCTCGCTAACAGCACTTGCCCCTACAGTCTGTTAAGGCTATATGGGGGATCTTTGTCTTTGTCTTTGTACTATTACAGACACCGCTGTGGAGTTTGTAGGTACTGCTAGCGTAGAGCGGGCGGAATTTTTCGTAGTCTTTGGGGGTGGGGTTGTCTGTCGGTAAAGTCACCGCAGGTTGGAAATTATTATTTTTTTGTTCATAAAAATAATTTTACGGGAAAAAAACAATATATAATAACAAAAATTGAAGTTTATCATTCCAAAAAAAAACAGCCACATTTCATTGCATGAACGTTTCGTTATTTTCTATTTATTTTTATTTAATTTTATTATTTTATTTTTTCAAACCCACGCGACTTTACACCCACCCACCACCACCCACCCACCCACCACCACCCACCCACCCACCACCACCCACCCATCACCACCCACCCACCCACCACCACCACCACCACCCACCCACCCACCACCACCACCACCCACCCACCACGACCACCAGCCACCCACCACGACCACCACCACCACCCACCCACGCACCCCCACCACCACCCCCAAAAATAAATTCTCGCAGGTCGAAAATTTTTAAAAATGACGTCATGAATCTTCCGGAAGATTCTTCCGAAACCCGCAGAGGAAGACGACCCAACACCAATAAAACCCCAAGACACTAAAACAACAACAGCAGAAGCAGCAGCCCCGCCATTACCTCACCACCACCACCACCAGCTCCACTCCCCCACTCACCATGCACAGCAGCCGCCACTGCAGCTGCCTCAGCAGCCTCCACGACGCTCGCCGTCTCGGCGAGTTCGTGCGAGGAGGCGGCGGCGGCGGCGGCCTGAAGCTGCTGCTCGAAGTCGCCCAGCGAGGCGCAGTTGACGAGCTGAATGTTGTAGTGGGCCGGGGCAGACATCGCGGGAGAAAGGAAGAGTCCAAGTGAACGGGGGGTGGCCGTCTGCCGGAAGAGTCCAAGTGAACGGGGGGTGGACGTCTGCCGGAAGACGGAAGAGTCCAAGTGAACGGGGGGTGGCCGTCTGCCGGAAGAGTCCAAGTGAACGGGGGGTGGCCGTCTGCCGGAAGAGTCCAAGTGAACGGGGGGTGGAGGTCTGCCGGAAGACGGAAGAGTCCAAGTGAACGGGGGGTGGGGGTCTGCCGGAGGACGGAAGAGTCCAAGTGAACGGGGCGTGGCCGTCTGCCGGAAAAGTCCAAGTGAACGGGGGGTGGAGGTCTGCCGGAAGACAAAGAGTCCAAGTGAACGGGGGGTGGACGTCTGCCGGAAGAGTCCAAGTGAACGGGGGGTGGGGGTCTGCCGGAAGACGGAAGAGTCCAAGTGAACGGGGGGTGGGGGTCTGCCGGAAGACGGAAGAGTCCAAGTGAACGGGGGGTGGAGATCTGCCGGAAGAGTCCAACTGAACGGGGGGTGGAGGCCTGCCGGAAGACGGAAGAGTCCAAGTGAACGGGGGGGGGGGGGGGGAGATCTGCCGGAAGAGATCAAATGAATGGGGTGTGGAGATATGCCGGAAGATGGAAGAGTCCAAGTGAACGGGGGGTGGACGTCTGCCGGAAAACGGAAGAGTCCAAGTGAACGGGGGGTGGAGTTCTGCCGGAAGACGGAAGAGTCAAACTGTACGGGAGGTGGACGTCTGCCGGAAGACGGAAGAGTCCAACTGAACGGGGGGTGGAGATCTGCCGGAAGGGGGGGGGGGACTATTCAAAGATGGAAGAAACCAACTGAACGGGAAGAAGGGGGGGATATTCAAAGATGGAAGAAACCAACTGAACGGGAAGGAGGGGGGGTGACTATTCAAAGATGGAAGAAACCAACTGAACGGGAAGGGGAGGGGGGGTGACTATTCAAAGATGGAAGAAACCAACTGAACGGGAAGGGGAGGGGGGGTGACTATTCAAAGATGGAAGAAACCTACTGAACGGGTAGGAGGGGGGGTGGCTATTCAAAGATGGAAGAAACTAACTGAACGGGAAGGAGGGGGGTGACTATTCAAAGATGGAAGAAACCAACTGAACAGGAAGGGGAGGGGGGGTGACTAATCAAAGATGGAAGAAACCAACTGAACGGGTAGGAGGGGGGGTGGGACTATTCAAAGATGGAAGAAACCAACTGAACAGGAAGGAGGGGGGGTGACTATTCAAAGATGGAAGAAACTAACTGAACGGGAAGGAGGGGGGTGACTAATCAAAGATGGAAGAAACCAACTGAACGGGAAGGAGGGGGGTGACTATTCAAAGATGGAAGAAACCAACTGAACGGGAAAGAGGGGGGGTGACTATTCAAAGATGGAAGAAACCAACTGAACGGGTAGGAGGAGGGGGGTGACTATTCAAAGATGGAAGAAACCAACTCGACGGGAAGGGGAGGGGGGGAAGATTCAAAGATGGAAGAAACCAACTGAACGGAAAGGGGAGGGGGTGACTATTCAAAGATGGAAGAAACCAACTGAACGGGAAGGGGGGGGGGGGTGACTATTCAACGATGGAAGAAACCAACTGAACAGGAAGGAGGGGGGGTGGACTATTCAAAGATGGAAGAAACCAACTGAACAGGAAGAAGGGGGGTGACTTTTCAAAGATGGAAGAAACCAACTGAACGGGAAGGGGAGGGGGGTGACTTCAAAGATGGAAGAAACCAACTGAACGGGAAGGGGGGGTGACTATTCAAAGATGGAAGAAACCAACTGAACGGGAATGAGGGGGGGGTGACTATTCAAAGATGGAAGAAACCAACTGAACGTAAATGAGGGGGGGTGACTATTCAAAGATGGAAGAAACCAACTGAACCGGAAGGAGGGGGGTGACTATTCAAAGATGGAAGAAACCAACTGAACGGGAAGGGGGGGTGACTATTCAAAGATGGAAGAAACCAACTGAACGGGAAGGAGGGGGGGGGGTGACTATTCAAAGATGGAAGAAACCAACTGAACGGGAAGGAGGGGGGTGACTATTCAAAGATGGAAGAAACCAACTGAACGGGAAGGAGGGGGGGTTACTATTCAAAGATGGAAGAAACCAACTGAACGGGAAGAAGGGGGGGATATTCAAAGATGGAAGAAACCAACTGAACAGGAAGGAGGGGGGTGACTATTCAAAGATGGAAGAAACCAACTGAACAGGAAGGAGGGGGGTGACTATACAAAGATGGAAGAAACCAACTGAACAGGAAGGAGGGGGGTGACTATTCAAAGATGGAAGAAACCAACTGAACGGGAAGGGGAGGGGGGGTGACTATTCAAAGATGGAAGAAACCAACTGAACGGGAAGGGGAGGGAGGGTGACTTCAAAGATGGAAGAAACCAACTGAACGGGAAGGGGAGGGAGGGTGACTTCAAAGATGGAAGAAACCAACTGAACGGGAAGGAGGGGGGGGTGACCATTCAAAGATGCAAGAAACCAACTGAACGGGAAGGGGAGGGGGGGGGTGACTATTCAAAGATGGAAGAAACCAACTGAAAGGGAAGGGGAGGGGGGGTGACTATTCAAAGATGGAAGAAACCAACTGAACGGGAAGGAGGGGGGGGTGACTTCAAAGATGGAAGAAACCAACTGAACGGGAAGGGGAGGGGGGTGACTATTCAAAGATGGAAGAAACCAACTGAACGGGAAGGAGGGGGGTGACTATTCAAAGATGGAAGAAACCAACTGAACGGGAAGGAGGGGGGTGACTATTCAAAGATGGAAGAAACCAACTGAACGGGAAGGGGAGGGGTGGGACTATTCATAGATGGAAGAAATCAACTGAACAGGAAGGGGAGGGGGTGACTATTCAAAGATGGAAGAAACCAACTGAACGGGAAGGGGAGGGGGGGTGACTATTCAAAGATGGAAGAAACCAACTGAACGGGAAGGAGGGGGGGTGGCTATTCAAAGATGGAAGAAACTAACTGAACGGGAAGGAGGGGGGTGACTATTCAAAGATGGAAGAAACCAACTGAACAGGAAGGAGGGGGGGGGGGATATTCAAAGATGGAAGAAACCAACTGAACAGGAAGGGGAGGGGGGGTGACTAATCAAAGATGGAAGAAACCAACTGAACGGGTAGGAGGGGGGGTGGGACTATTCAAAGATGGAAGAAACCAACTGAACAGGAAGGAGGGGGGTGACTATTCAAAGATGGAAGAAACTAACTGAATGGGAAGGAGGGGGGTGACTAATCAAAGATGGAAGAAACCAACTGAACGGGAAGGAGGGGGGTGACTATTCAAAGATGGAAGAAACCAACTGAACGGGAAGGAGGGGGGGGTTACTATTCAAAGATGGAAGAAACCAACTGAACGGGAAGGAGGAGGGGGGTGACTATTCAAAGATGGAAGAAACCAACTCGACGGGAAGGGGAGGGGGGGAAGATTCAAAGATGGAAGAAACCAACTGAACGGGAAGGGGAGGGGGTGACTATTCAAAGATGGAAGAAACCAACTGAACGGGAAGGGGGGGGGGGTGACTATTCAACGATGGAAGAAACCAACTGAACAGGAAGGAGGGGGGGTGGACTATTCAAAGATGGAAGAAACCAACTGAACAGGAAGAAGAGGGGTGACTTTTCAAAGATGGAAGAAACCAACTGAACGGGAAGGGGAGGGGGGGTGACTTCAAAGATGGAAGAAACCAACTGAACGGGAAGGGGGGGGTGACTATTCAAAGATGGAAGAAACCAACTGAACGGGAATGAGGGGGGGGGGTGACTATTCAAAGATGGAAGAAACCAACTGAACGCGAATGAGGGGGGGTGACTATTCAAAGATGGAAGAAACCAACTGAACCGGAAGGAGGGGGGTGACTATTCAAAGATGGAAGAAACCAACTGAACGGGAAGGGGGGGTGACTATTCAAAGATGGAAGAAACCAACTGAACGGGAAGGGGGGGGTGACTATTCAACGATGGAAGAAACCAACTGAACAGGAAGGAGGGGGGGGGGTGGACTATTCAAAGATGAAAGAAACCAACTGAAGAGGAAGAAGGGGGGTGACTTTTCAAAGATGGAAGAAACCAACTGAACGGGAAGGGGAGGGGGGTGACTATTCAAAGATGGAAGAAACCAACTGAACGGGAAGGGGAGGGGGTGACTATTCAAAGATGGAAGAAACCAACTGAACGGGAAGGAGGGGGGGAATTCAAAGATGGAAGAAACCAACTGAACGGGAAGGGGAGGGGGTGACTATTCAAAGATGGAAGAAACCAACTGAACGGGAAGGAGGGGGGGGAATTCAAAGATGGAAGAAACCAACTGAACAAGGAGGGGGTGACTATTCAAAGATGGAAGAAACCAACTGAACGGGGGGGTGTGGGAGGAGTCGACTGAGCTGAATGTTGCATTGAACCCATCCCTGCCTGCATCTGTGGTGGAGGCCAATCAGTTTTCAAAGACAATGCCTCGTATTAAAATATTATTATTACTTTTATATACTTATTCTTGGTTCTTTCGGTAAAGTCACCACGTAGAAGGGAAACAATTAAATAATAAAAATATAAAACAATAAAATTCTCACGACGTTTCGACTAAAAAAAATGTTCTTGCTGTGGTTTTCACGGCTGATGATGATTGCTGCTTTGTGTTGCAGTCTGTGTGAGTCTGTGTGGGTCTCTGTGAGTCTGTGTGAGTCTCTGTGAGTCTGTGTGGGTCTCTGTGAGTCTGTGTGGGTCTCTGTGAGTCTGTGTGGGTCTCTGTGAGTCTGTGTGGGTCTCTGTGAGTCTGTGTGGGTCTCTGTGAGTATGTGTGGGTCTCTGTGAGTCTGTGTGAGTCTGTGCGAGTCTCTGTGAGTCTCTGTGAGTCTGTGTGGGTCTCTGTGAGTCTGTGTGGGTCTCTGTGAGTCTGTGTGGGTCTCTGCGAGTCTGTGTGGGTCTCTGTGAGTCTGTGTGGGTCTCTATGAGTCTGTGTGGGTCTCCATGAGTCTGTGTGGGTCTCTTTGAGTCTGTGTGCGTCTCTGTGAGTCTGTGTGGGTCTCTGTGAGTCTATGTGGGTCTCTGCAAGTCTGTGTGGGTCTCTTTGAGTCTGTCTGGGTCTCTGTGAGTCTGTGTCGGTCTCTATGAGTCTGTGTGGGTCTTTGTGAGTCTGTGTGGGTCTCTGTGATTCTGTGTAGGTCTCTGTGAGTGTCTCAGAGATCCACACAGAGACTCACAGAAGCCCCACAGATACCGCACATAGACTGACAGATAATCACAGAGAGACCTACATAGACTCAAACACCCACAGAGACTCACAAAGATCCACAGAGACCCACAGAGGCCCACAGAGACCCCACAGAAACTCAGATAATCACAGAGACTCACAGAGACTCAAGAGACCCACAGAGATTCACAAAGATGCACAGAGACCCACAGAGACCCACCACGTGGACACTGATATTCTAACGGCCGTGCTTATCTGCACTATGGGGTACATATCTCGTTCACACCACAGCAAACTATTAAATCTGTAGCGAGTCCAACTGAGTCGCAGACGTTCCGTTTAGAGGCAACACTTTCGTTTGTAACACCGTAGCACAAAGCGGTAACTGCCCCTTCAACAGACGACAGCTTAGGGTGGGCCATCCTGCTAACTACTCTACACAGAGATCGGAACCTCACACGGGTGTCTGACCACGTCCTTGCCTCGTAGGGCAGAGAGCTTCCAGCTTGTAGATGTTGAGTTTCCAGCTTGTAGATGTTGAGTTTCCAGCTTGTAGATGTTGAGTTTCCTGCTTGTAGGTGTTGAGTTTCCTGCTTGTAGGTGTTGAGTTTCCAGCTTGTAGGTGTTGAGTTTCCAGCTTGTAGATGTTGAGTTTCCTGCTTGTAGATGTTGAGTTTCCTGCTTGTAGGTGTTGAGTTTCCAGCTTGTAGGTGTTGAGTTTCCAGCTTGTAGATGTTGAGTTTCCTGCTTGTAGAT